TGAAATGTGAAAACACGACTTTTTCGAGCATTTTTCCAAATTTAAACGCGAATTACAGCCATACGGATAAATTCACAGAAATATATTAATACTTGCTACATTGCCCAAACATTCAGCTTTCATATGCATCTTTTCGATTAATTCTATCTATTATAGTTTTCGAGAAAATCAATGAAATGTGAAAACACTGCTTTTTCGAGCATTTTTTCAACGTTGAACGTGAATTACAGCCATATGGATAAATCCACAGTAATACATGAATACTTGATACATTCCCCAAACATTCAGCTTTCATATGCATCTTTTCGATTTATTCTATGTATTATAGTTTTCGAGAAAATCAATGAAATGTAAAAACACTGCTTTTTAGAGCATTTTTTTCAACTTTGAGCATGAATTACAGCCATATGGATAAATCCAGAAACTTAATAGAAAATGACAATATTTCAGTCATTTGATGCATTACTTATTATAATGTATAAATCAACTAATTAAGAAATATAATTATTATATTTAAAAATGAGTTTACCAAATTGATGAAACCAATTACTAAAAATCATTTTTTTCTGTTCTTTTTGTTGCAGTGGCCGAGGAAAGATGGGATTTCTGGGTCCGATGTCCTGGATTCAGGTCCTCGTCTCTGCGCTTTTGATGAACGGTAAGTCCGGAAAGCCGAAATCCACCTTCCGCTCACAGGATGAATCACGACAAGCTATCCTTTCACCTCAACCTTCAACCGTCCCTCATCCCTCATACTCATCGAAATCGATCCACCCTTGCACAAACCTCCACCGCTCTTTAATGAATACATTTTCGCTGCCCTCGCTAAATTCCTCTTTCAATTATATGCAATTTGCATGGAATCCTTTCCCTTATATAACGAACTTACATATAGCCGTGATTTCATTATTTTATTCACGAAACTCGGTGTGTTGATTCCTCTCTCTCAATCCGAGATGATCCAATTGTTGGTGGTGTAGCCTATTGTAATTAGATAGAAGTCTAGACTCTCCGGAGAATTAATCGCCACTTGGTCTGTTCTTTCTTTCGTTTTCCGCGTTCGACACCATCGATCAGCTCAGAAATCTGTGGAATTAGTGGGTCAAATGGGTCGGAGTCGAGCGCCACACTGAAATTGGGGTGGTTTTCGTAATTCGACGTGAGTGCTATATTACTTCTTTTTTAAATATAAAAGCGCAGGAGAGTGGAAAATTCGTTTCACGGATGATTAAAGCTACATTGAAACAGAAATTATAAGCTTGCCATTCGCTCACATCAATCAAAAAAATGTGTAATCCGGAAATTTATATATATGCAAAAATCCGCTTTTTGTTAAGAAGCTTTATTTGTCTTTGCTTTCTATATGTTTAGCTTTGAAGCAATATAATTTTATGTCCAATATAAAGTCTACATATTTCATACATTAAATTTTATGAAAACTATGAAAATCACTATAATGTCAGTGAACATACTTTCTTCTCTATATATTTAATGGTTTGTTGTTACTGAAAATTCCATGAAATATAAACTCTCTGTTTCAATTATTTTCTTGTTCATAATGATTGAACGTGTTGTGTGACTATTCCCATTTTTTGTTTGATCAAAGCAAACCATATATCATGTTCAATATCTGTGCCTAATACAAGCATGTAAACAGACGGCAGCATTGTCCTGGCAACAATAAATTAATTATGTCATGGAATTCGAAAACATGACCACCAACCAGTGATTTTCGAACGAAGATATGCCAGAGAATGGCCACAGCAGAGTTCAACTTGATGCGGTTTAGTTGCGAGGATGTCGAGGACATGACAATCGTATTATTTAATCAAGTGAAGGTGGAAATTTTCGCGGTCCAAAATATTAATTGCGTCTGCTGCGGAGACTTTTGTGCGATTGTTTGAGAACGCCCTGCGGGATTCCCCTTTTCACTCCCTCACTCACACACACATTCGCCCCCGTGTCAGCAGGAAACATGGAATTTCACTTAAACTCGCCCGGACAGCCAACATTTATTATTTGATCTATACGTTTCGCATGAGGAGAGACCAAAGTCGCCTTCCTTTTCGCGTCCTTGTTTTCCTCCCCACAAAAGAAAAAAAACAAATAACAAAAATCATAGAACAAATGATATTTCTATGCATGTTTGCTGCAATTCAATTGAACGCGTAATTAATTTGACATTTGGATACTAACAGTTCGTGGTCGAATAATTAAATTTCTGTCAGTGCGAACAATGCAGTTATAGCAATAATGCGCAATCGGGAATTCCCCATAATTGCTCATTTCTCCTACATCTCTATATCTATCTGGCTATCTATATACTCGTTTTTTTATGTTATCCAACCACTCGACGACGTGACGTGGAAAAATAACAGCAATTGTAATTCGTCGTGGCGAATAGAGAGAGAGAGAGAAAAAAACCTCTGTTCGACCATCGCTTATTCGGGTTCACTGAATTCGTTAGTCCTTATGTTTCCCCGATCCGCTATTAAGGACACCCCCGCAGGGCGAAAAACGTGCAAAGAAGAAAAGGGAATACGAAGAATAAAAATAGAAGGACGATAAATCCCCCGGCGCTCTGCGATTTGCATTAAGTTTTCCAATTATATTATTATTTTTGTACGCAGCAGGATCTAAAAGAAAATATTTTTCAACTGTTTTCAAATAAATAAAAAATAATTCCATACAATATTTAAAAAATAAATCATTAAATGTTAGCAGCTAAACTTTATTACTTTTTGCTACTTTTCTTACATGAACGAATTTGTGATTTGCGAAGTTTTGTAATCGAATTTATTAGATTCACGTTAACATTGAGACAAATTAGTTCTATTTAATTTTAAATAAGATAATCATTGTTGTAAATTCACAATAATTTCTTTCAAATAATTATGAAAATTGTAATTAATATCAGGAATGAAATATGAGCTTTTTTTAATAATATATAAAAGAAATATTAAGATCTTAATTTTGTTAGAAATAAATTAATTTGATTAATTAAATTATTTTATATACAGAAACGATAAAATATTAAAAAAAAAATATATGAAAATTCATGAAACGTTTGAAGATTTATTGATAGTATAAATATCATTGAAATATTATATAACTGCTAAATAAATAAATAACAGAGGTATGATCTAAACAGGCTGCAGGAGTAAGGTGTGTGATTCGTGATCTATAAATATCTTTAATACGAGCCATTAAAGATGATAAATCTGGAAGGACCAAAGGGATGTGTTATCTTTCTGGCGAAGATAAAATATTAAAAAGTATCGTCGAAGGTGGCGCTCGGGGCAAAGGAGGTGTGGAAGGAGGACAGGGATGAGGAGAAAAACGTCAAAGGAATAAAGGAGTGCGGCGAGATTAAAGTTGCTTTCTGCGAACGCACACAGAACTGGAATTTATAGTCTGCAGAATCCGCTCCGAACGCATTACACATATTGGTGAACAGATGGGGTTCATCTGATGTGTTTGTATGTGAGAGAGGACGAGGGGTGGGTGGAATGAAATCCAGTTGTTGTCCGAATTCCGCATTCTGCATTCAGCGGTTGATGAAATATTTACAAGTCAGAGTGTCGCCCCCTCTTTGACATCCATCTCAAATGGGGCGGAAAAGTCTGCGCTCAAAGGTGTCTGCGTTTGGGGGTTGTGGCATTAACACACCGTTACGTATTCGGGTTCGCATCTGCATAATCAGTAATTACGTATGCACCGCTATGTCTATGATATTTACCATGGGTTTGCATACTAAACAAGCTTCGGACCCCAGGACTAAATGCAACGGTCGAGCCCACTTCCATTTACATTAAATAACAATTTTCACTAGTAAATTCATCCGAATCAACGCCAATTTACAATCGATATAATTGTTTACAAAATGCACACAATATACACACACAATATACGAGTTAATTTGATGTTGTAAGAAAATATTATTATTTGTATATCAATAAGAAAACTGCAAAAATTGTGAGAAGTTTGAAATAGTTGCGAGGGTTTCTTTTTTTTTTGTTGCTATACAAAGAGCTTATTTGTGACTATACATACTTGTGTGTAACTTTTGCGACCAACAAAAGAATGCAAAGAAGCTGAATGGTTTGTGTTTGCGTTCGAACTATTCGGGCAACAATGCAGTTTGTAAAAATTTTTGCGCGAAAGGGTCGCAAGCGTTTATTCCGAGCGCTATCCTCTCGGAAGTTTTGTTGCAGTTACTTAAATTTCCCCGAGGATGCATCGTCTGCTTGCACTATTTTCGCCCACCCATCAGACAGTGATGGAATCGATGCCACCGCAGCACACAGCAAACAACCCCGAAAAACGAACAAAAAAAAAATGTGTGCGCCCGCAGTGGGACACCCGAAAACACTGTCGTGTCCCGGGATTAAGAAATCCTTGGACACCGTGGATTATCTCGTAGTTATGTCGTTGCGGAGTCTTAGAGGGGTTTATGAATATTAAATGCAATATTCTTAATTAACTTTATTATAACATCGGAGTTTTATTGAGAAGTCAACTAACAATAGTTGATCTCAGGTTATTATATAACTCAAGAGTTACATTCTCCTCTTAAGTTAGTGTATGAAGTAAGTGCACTTCCTTGGACTCTCCCAAGTAGGACTTCTTCTCAGTTCGACCCCTTAGCTAACTCTTCTCTTAGTGACTCAGCACCCCTTACTAAGACTCCTCTCTCTTCGCTCCCCTAACTAAGACTAAATTATATAATACAAAAATGTGTTCATTTCAAAAAGGGGCTGCGTGGGAGAAAAGGTTTGACCTTGTGGAAAACACAAGGTTTCTTTATCTAAGTTTTATGATCCTACCCAAATATTTAGGGGCTGCGAGAAGGCTGTTAAGTGGTGATAAAAGACGCAACTGTAAAGGCTGTTAGTATAAAAAACTATAGATTTAATGTGTAACCGTCTTCGGAATATTCCACAAGTTATTCTAAATAATCACGTACAAGTATCCGTTTGTATATTTGATGGATACGTTAAATATGATTTGTAATAATTAAGAGGAAAGACATGGCCCTAACAAATATACATATTAGTTATACAATAGATGACAATAAATTGGTCGGACACGACAACACCACGTGTATTCAATTAACAGACCCGTTGCAAAAGTTGTACTTCTTTCTTAATTTCTTACTTACTTTCCTCTCTTCATTTGTGTTTCTTTATTTTCTTTGCTCAATCCTGATTTTGATATCGGGACAAAGTTTTACGAAACACAATGCGAAATTTATGGAGGGTCCCAGTTTAAATATTCATGCAAAACTTTACGGCGCGCCAATGTGCATGTATGAAAAATAAAATGAAATACTCGACACACACCCACACACATACAGCAACAACAAGAATAGAGAGAGAGAAAAAAATGAGGGACGGCGGCAGCATCAAATAAGGGATGCTGGAATGGGGATGAAATAATATAAATAAAAAACAAAATGTACGAGAGACATACGTGCAGAATGCGAAAGTTTTGATATTCGGAAAGTTCGTTGCGAAAATAAATAGATGTGTTTGTATGAGTATGTACGTCCAGAAGAGAATATCAACGACCTGAATTGTAATTATCACTATATGTTTTTTTTTTCAGATGCAATCAGTTTGCTTTGACACTGAACAAATATTTCCTGAAATGCTACTACTCCTGAAGACGCTACTTTATTTTAATGTTTATTATAGAAGAACGTAAATACGAACAAATAATGTATGTTCATTAATGAATTGTATATAATAAAAATGAATAGAATCAGGTGCATCAATTCTGTTGTTGAGCCCTTGCACTTAGTATTCCGAGGAGTTTCCATCAACGGCATTCGCACTGTAATCCTGCGAGCTGTCGGAGCGGCTGTGCGGGGTGGAATAGGGTGTTGGGTGTAGGTAATCCAGAAGGGCGAAGGGCGGACGTCGTCCGTCCTTGGCTTATCTCGCGCCCGGCACTGATGTAATCGCAGCCGGAAGTTGACCCGTCAGCCCTGTTAACAAGGTGTTCGCTCTAATGCCTTCCGGAAGAGACGCCGCAGCGCAGTACATCAACAATAAGCCGGCCGTTTTATTATGGTCCTCCGTTTCCTGTCCTTCATCCCATACGCCTTCAGACCCATCTCATTTCCTTATTGCATTTCTTTTTTACCCGAGATGAGCAAAGATCGAACGAATGGTTTATTTTTCTCTTGATTGATTAATATCAATGTCTGGATACAAATAAACGTACGCGCTGCGTGTGATTAAGAGAACAGCTGATTGATTATCGTCGGACCGAATTCATTTTTCTCCGAATATATACCAAAGTATCAATCAAAAAAAGGGTGAAAGTGAAAGGCCAGATCATCGATCATCCAGTGTTTCGATGGCAAACAAAGAGATCTACGTAAATATCGTCTGGAGAGTACCGTTGAAAATGCTTTGGTTTCAATTGCGGTTTTGCGGAATAAAGTTGCCCCGGATGGACGTTTTAGTGTGATTGAAACGCACCGCCTTTACGATCTACAAATAGCGAATGCCCCCCCGACCATCAACTTGCTAAGAAATTCCAGGTCTTCGACGACCCATGCATTTCTAATAAGTTTACGCCGTTTTGTTGCTTGCAGCCTTCAATCATAAAATAAACCGATTTCATTTTATGTTCCAAACTGTATCCGACATCAGCTAATGCACTTTTCTTTTTTACAATCCAAGTTTAGTTGCTTACATCTTCCTAAATCCAATTATGAACAATTTATTCCAATTGTAAATTCTTTCACAAGATGAAACTTTTACTAATAATAACAATGAAATTAAGTGATCAATCTAATTAAAACAAAGAGTTAGGTAATGGTTATTTTAATTAACATGTAATGCTTTAACTACCTCTGCCTTGTTTGAAAAGAAGTTTTTTCTTCTTTTTTTTTTTTGCTTAAGATCTCGTATCAGACTGGTTTAATGTATTTAAATTTCGGGGTGGTTTGGCGTGGAGCGGATGGATTAATTAAGAAGTGGGTCGATTTTAGTTTAGCCCGGGGACGGTCTTTACGGTTTTGTAATCTATAAATTTTAGCAGCGTTCGTGATTAAGAGCAGCCTTGGGGGTGCCTTAAAAACCATTTGTTTCTAGGGCCTACCATAAATTACGTCCCTTACGTTTGTGTTCTACAGTCGCGCCGTCCGTGTTGTTGCTGCAGTAGTCGTTAGCTACGCAAAGGATTTACTATAAAAAGGAAGAAACATCCTTATCTCACTCTCTATCCTGTTTTGTTATCCTTCTATTCCTTCTACAACCGATGCGGTTGAGTTTTATAGAAAGCAAAAGAAGGAGAGTGAGTAAGAGTTAGAGAGAGGAAGGCAGTAACGATTCTTTAAATCCCTTTGATATCGCTCGCTCTTTCATCCTTTGAAACCGAAATCATAAACGTCATACACCTTACACTTATTTACTTGCTGATTCTGCTGTTTCTATATGTCTGCTGTTTCTACATGTCTACATTTCTGCGTTTTGTTTAGCAGGTTGGTGGGTTTGCGAAGGAGCCAATCTCCCTCCGGTCTTCACGCTGGACATAAACAATTTGGCGTTGGCAGAAACGACGCCTGTTGGAACTGTTGTTTTCACTTTGGAAGGCTCAGATCCGGAAAACAGCACCGTGCATTTCGGCCTTAACGGCACCGACCTCTTAAAGGTCAACAGGGATACGGGCGCCGTTACAGTCGTAAAGCCCTTGGACAGAGAGGTATCGTAAACATTTCAATCGCACCCTTTTACCTTTATTTCGATGTAATATGGCTAATGGTCACCATTTCAGATCAACGACACTCTGAACTTTTCTGTGACCTTGGAGGATGAAGTGCAGGATGCCCCCGTCGGTGGTAACAATCTGGTAACCGTTCCGGTGACGGTCATCATCCTCGACGAGAACGACAACGCTCCGATGTTCCAAAACGTATTTAATTTTAGAGTAAACGCAGACATCTCTGTTAATCGCTTCAGTTTCAGGTGCCATACGAGATTAACGTGAAGGAGGATGAACCTATCGGCAGCACCGTCTTCTCGGAGGTGGTGCTCTCCGATCCCGATTCTCTCGGTGAGAGCATCGAGGTGGAATGCATAAACTTGCCGGGATTCGAGCGAGCCTGCGAAATATTCGAGCTGCAGGCCGTCGAAAGTTCGCAGAACACTTACAAAGGTGTGTTCGTGCTGAAAAAGAAATTAAACTACACAATGCAAGATACTTATGAAATTCTACTCAAAGCCACGGTACATACTTTTTTTTTTATTTCTCTCTTACGTCTCAGTCTAATCGCACTACCCTCTCGACAACTTCTATCCTCATTGTGCCCTAATTGCAGGACGGACAACTCAACAGCACCGTCAAAGTGAACGTCAACGTTGAGGATGTGCAGGATACTCCTCCCAAGTTCATAGGAGAACTCGAAGCACAAATCTACGAAAACGCCTCGATTAACACGCTCGTCCTCACATTGCATGCCGTCGATGGCGACAGGCAACATCCCAGGAAGATACACTATGAACTAGTCAATAGTAAGTATTTGTAAAATATGAATATATCTTCAATCTTGTATTTGTATTGTGCATAACTATTTAGTAGAAATGTAACTAATGTAACTATTTCAGATCCCATGAACTATTTCCTGTTGGATTCTGTGACGGGTGAACTGAGGACGGCCAAACCGCTGGACAGGGAATCGATAGATAATCCTGACGGGATTTTAACGCTCAACATTAAGGTCGGTCTTTGTTTGTTTGAGTTATGATGCGCTCCTCGTAATATATTCTCGCCTATTTATTCTTCTTTTAATTTTCCGCATTCATCTTTCTCTCCCATCCTCTTGATGATACTTATTGTATGAATTTTCGCTGCAGGCAAGGGAGATAATCGACGGGCAAAAAGGCAATGATCCGTTGACGGTGACAACGGCCGATGTTAAAATAACTGTGAAGGATGTGAACGACGAGCCGCCCACATTCAATAAGCGAGATTATTACGTGGAAATACCGGAGAATATTCCTGAAGGATCGGCGCTTCCCGATCTGGACATGACCGTTAACGATCCCGATTTGGTACGATCAATTTGAGGGTTTCGTTATAATATAAAATTTTCTTTCTTTGTGTTTTGCTGATGGTTTCAGGGTGAGAATTCAGAGTTTTCGTTGGCGCTGAACGACATCTCGAACGCGTTTTCCATCGAACCGAAATCTGCGACAGGTTCAACGCCGGTAACAATTCGCGTGACCAACAGTTCTTTGGATTACGAGAATTTGAATCAAAGAAAGTTCTTGATCTTGGTGGTTGCCAAAGAGTTGCACACCGCGGAGCAGCTGTCCTCGACGGCGACGGTGACCATCACTGTGACGGATGCAAACGACAATGCGCCCACGTTCGATCAGGACAGTTACGTCGCTACAATTTCCGAAATCTCTTCGCCCGGAAGTTTGGTGAGCACCATCGTGGCAAGGGACAGGGATAGCGGAAGATTCGGGGAGAACGGCATCCTCTATTCGTTGGCCGGAAATGGGGCAGAGAAGTTCCACGTCAACAACCGGACCGGAGCCATCACCGTCGCAAAATGCTCTCATCCGGGCGAAGAGGACTGTCTCGATTACGAAACGAAATCCGAGTATCTCCTATCATTTAAGGTAAACAACTTATCTTCCTTAATTACAAGACAAACATTCTTCTTTCACAGTAATCAATATCCTAAACATGTACAAATTATTACAATTTACAACATTTTTCCTATTATTTTTATTTAATTAATATTTTTATTTCCTTTTTTCTTGTTCTTTTTTATCTTAGGCCACAGATGATGATGGCAAGGGACAGACATCGATTGTACCTCTAAAAATAGTTCTGACGGACAACAACGACAATCCTCCAGTGTTCGGACAGGACGTCTACAGAGTATTCATAGATGAAGGAGCGACTCGTTTCGATCCTGATCTGGTCATAACGGCAACGGACAAAGACAAAACTTCGCGTCTAACGTACTCTATCATCGCTGGAAATGCGGACGGTTCGTTCTATATCAATCCTGATTCTGGAAGGATCAGGATCACCAAAACCACGGGTCTGGACATGAGCAATGCCGACGATCTTGTTCTCACAGTCGAGGTGAGCATACATTTGCATCTTGTTATAATAACGAAATAGGACGTATCTCATTTGCAATTGATATAAACCGACTATTCGGGTATAATAATTGTGCGGTGACAACAATTTGATTTACTGAATTCTTAACTATTACGATTTTTGTATTATGATGAAATTCGATATTCTTTTTAGGCTAACGATGGTAAATATACGGCAAGCGCTTTAGTGAATATAACTGTAAGGGATATAAACAACAATTCGCCGAAATTCGAGGAGGAGAATTACGTGGTTGCAGTTAAAGAGGATGTGGCTGTAGGTTCATCGGTGATTCAGGTGAACGCGACCGATGCAGATGTCGGTCTTAACGCCGACGTTCTGTACAAGCTGACCAAAGGCTCTTTAGACGATTTCAACATTGATCCTGAATCCGGCATTGTCACAGTCTCTTCCAAATTGGATTACGATAGGCGCAACACTTACAACATCGAAGTAGTTGCTACCGATAAGGGTTCTCCAGCTCTAACCGGAACAGCGACTTTAACAGTCAATATCATTAATACAAACGATAAGTTACCCTACTTCGTGCCAACGACGCAAAAGGCAGAGGTATTGGAGGATGCACCCGTCGGAACCGTTGTCCATACACTGGTGGCCCTTGATCCGGACGTGAATGGATCGGAGGCTTTGAATTTTGCTGCAACAGAACCCATCACCGCTTTGGATAAGCACGGGCACAAAGTAGAAGGGACCGATGGTTTTAAAGATTTCTTCTCCGTGGACAAAAACAACGGAAAAGTCACGGTGGTGAATCCTCTTCTAAGGGATATTGCGGCTGTAATTAGGATCACTGTTCTTGTGACCGATATTACTGCGACCAACATGCAGCAAGGCGAAGGAATGTTAATCATAACAATCACTGACGTTAATGATTCTCCACCGGCTTTTACTCCACCCTGGACTCCTCAAAGGCCGTTTTACGACCTGCAGCTGAAGGAAGAATTACCTGTTGGTACCATAGTGTCAACATACAACGCTTACGATGAAGATTCAGAGATCGCAGGATACACGATCTGGCCTCAGAGCGAGTACTTCGAAATCAACAATGGTACAGGGATCGTGCAGATCAAGAAAGTCATCGACTTTGAGCAGACCGAGAATCTGAACTTCACCATCGTCGCGTTCGACTCTGGTGTGCCTCAATTGAATACAAGCGCGACTATTCGTGTGACCGTCGTAAACATCAACGATAACGACCCGAAATTCAGTAAAGAGATGTACAACGTCTCCGTGGAGGAGAACATACCGAAAGATGCGCACATAGTGACGGTGAATGCAACGGACGCAGATGCCGGTGAATTCGGAAAGATCACCTACAACCTGACCGGAGAGCACAGCGAGAACTTTAAGATCGATCAAGAAACTGGTGAAGTAACTGTCGAGAATCCAAATTTCCTGGACAGAGAAGTCCTCGAAGATGTAACCATCCAAGTGGTGGCAAGTGATGGAGCTCCTGGAAACCTGAAGCGCACCGTCAGCGTTCCAATCCACATCTTCATTCGAGATGTTAACGATAACGCTCCCAAATTTAACCAGAGTAGCTACAATGCCACCGTCGTAGAGAACGTCCGATTGAATCCTCCAGTTCCCATTGTCACAATAAATGCAACGGACGGCGACGTCGGGATCAACGGAATCATCAAATACAAAATCCTGACGGGCAACGAAAAAAGTAAGTTCGTAGTGTTGAGTAAAGACTCGTTCGTATTTAATTGTGTGTGTGTGTTTGTGTTTAAGATGTATTTTTGCTGGCCGAAGACACGGGAATCTTGTATCCGCATAAATCTTTAATCGATGGACAACACGTGTACAATTTATTGGTCGAAGCCCGAGACGTCGAAGGAACGGGTAAACTATCGGACAGGGCCATGATTAATATCGAGGTGCAGAACGTGAACGAATTCAAACCCGCCTTCATCATGCCAGCATTATTGAATTCCACCGTGGAAATTATCGAGGTAGTACAGATTTATGTCTATCAATATGAATGCATGCTTCCCTTAAGTGGCCATCCAACAACGTCATTTATTATTTGTTGACTTGATTGAACTTTAAGGAATTAAATTAATAATATTGTTATAGACTGCTGCTATTCCGGATTTCCTTGTGATGACTGTAAAGGCGACGGATAAGGATTCTGGAGAGAATGGTAGAATAACATATCATTTGAGGATTGATGGCGAGAACGTGCAGGAGACTGAAGAGTTCGCTATAGAAGAGAAGACTGGGGAGTTGAAGTGCAAGAGGATGTTGGATAGAGAGGTTCAAGGACGTTATGAGGTAGTAGTTGTGCAGGTTTTTGCTGTCTATAAGAGTTATTAATTGCTTTTTTATGCGCTTTTCTGGTAGCTCGTTTTGGTGGCACGGGATCACGGAATGCCCAAATGGTTCGAAACTGTGCGATACTTAACCATTTTGCTGGTGGATATGAACGATAATCGACCAGAATTTCCGGATACGAAAACGACGAATCCGTACATCTTCTACGTGGATGAAAACGATGAGAAGAACCTACGAATCGGACAGGTGAAAGCTCTTGATCGAGATGAGGGCAAACACGCTAAGGTGTATTATTACATGCTCGCTGGGGATGAGGATCATGCCTTCAGATTGGACAAACTCGACGGTAGTTTGTACACGAACAAGTCGTTTGATCGCGAAGAGAAGAGTGAGTACAATCTGTTCATCTTGGCCAACAACGATCCGGACTTTTACTTGACCGACGAGGACAGACATCGGCTCAGCGACGACGAGATCATGCACGATATTGGAGTGGCCAAAGTTCTGGTGGTCATCAACGACAAGAACGACAACGCTCCGAAATTCGTGAAGCCCACATATTATGCGGCGGTGAACGCGATGGCCAATATTAACAACTTCATCGCAAACGTGTCGGCAATCGATCCAGATGCCGGCCCCAACGGGACCATAACTTATTACATAAAGGCGTCCAACTTGTACAAGTACGGATCGGACAAGAGTTCCGGCTCGATAATCCCGTCGCCGTTCAACATCTCGCAGACCGGACATCTGAACACGGCGACTTATCTGGCCGAGAACAATCAGCACAGATTCGTCGTCGACGTCGTCGCCAGGGAGAACGCCTTCCCGGAAAGGGAAACTATTGCCAAAGTTCACGTAAGTTCTCTGTCTGCATTCGAACGTAAACGATCTCGGTTTCCAATCATCTTCATCCTCCGTTTTTCTTTCACTCTTCTCGCAGATTTGGATCTTCGAGCCTACACAGCTGAACAGAATCATCCTATCCAGACCTGTAACAGAAGTTAAATGCGAACGCGAAGAGATCATCGCCGAACTCAGCAACGCCACCGGTAGTTTAGTCATCATCGATGACATCCGTTACCACACCGATGACCTCGGACGCAAAAATGAAGAATGGTAAGTTACAGCAAACATATAATTCAGAGTAGAAATACAATTGTGCAGCTTTAAAGTGATTTCAAATCTTAATCGTGAAATATATCTCTCTCGAGGGATCTTACAAGAAAAGATAAAGGAGGCAGCTCAAGTTGAGATAAAGTCCTTAAGTCGTTAATGTCACGTACGATGTGTGTGTGTGTCTCTCTGATTCCAGGAGTGATATGTACATATTGGTTATCGATCCAAACACCCACACGATAGTCCCGGTGCCGGAGGTCCTTAAGATAATCGACGCGAAATACGACTTCCTCAAGGATTATTACGCCGGCTTCGCCATCCAGAACGTCGTGCCGGCGTTTGCTACAGAGAAGGAGGAGGCATTCGATCCGGCGCTGGCCGCTCTCATCGCTCTCCTGATCGTCCTCGTCGTCGGCATAGTCACCTTTACCGTGGTCTGCTGTTGCCTACGGCACTGGTCGATGCCACCAAACGGGGTCAAGAAGAAGGATGCCCTCATCAAAAAGGCCATCATCGATGACCTGAACACCACGGAAAATCCCCTGTGGATCGAACAGTATTTAAACGAACAGTTTGACCTTTAGAACTTTTACTCATGATTTCGCAACTGCTTTCAGAAAATTGAAAATCTACGAAGAACAGGAGCTGACGATGCAGGTCTTCAATGAACCTGAGCAGAACAGGAGGAATAGCGAAGACTTTGTTCCGGTAAATTACATCTTTGTAGATTTTATTTTATTAAGTTAGAACATTCATGAAATTTTATCAATTATGTTAATTCTATGAAATATATGAAAATGCTAATTTATTTATTTGTTTTAGGATGACAACACCTACGCGACGATCCAACATCCGAACCGTCGAGGATCCGTTCACATGGCAACCCTCTCGATGGCCGACGAGATGGCCGATTATGCAACTCTGTCGGGGATGCCTCTGCACTCAAACAGCAGCACCCTTAGGGGATCACCAAACGTTAGTAGAACAATTCATGCATTTCAGCAATAAACCTGAACTAACGTTTCGCCGCATTCCAGTACTACGAAGCTGCAATGGGTTTCCAGGGGTCGACGTTCCAAGTGCCGGAACCCGTCGGGGGCAGTTCCGAAGATTTCAACACTTTCAACAAGAGTCGGTTTAAGCACGACAAGCAGTCCGACTACGTCGCAGAACTGATATAAATTAGGTTGAGAGAAGAAGCAGAAGCAGCAGCAGCAACAAGAGCAGAAGGTGCAGATAGGGATGATCACAGCAACAAACTAAACATATTTTAATGAGAGAGGAGTGAATGTGCGTGATAAGACAATACATGTTTTGATGGCGGATTGAGTTAGGAAAAGACTGTTCGAATTGGATCTTGCTGAGTAAAATAATAATAATTAAGTAAATTGTGATGACAGAACAAGGAATGATGTAAACAACATACAACCAACATGATAATTAATTAACAATAGGCAAGACACTCAAGTTCTTTTAAAATCTTGTATTTGTTTTACCGTTTTTTTTACCTGGTTGTAGAGAGTTCAATGAGAAATTAACAATTAGCCATATCAAAGTATTACAATTAGTTTCGATTCCTGATTGGGGGAAATAAAGTTCTCACAATTATCTTTGATCGCTTCATCCAAAATCGATCGGTCGTTCGAGAAATGATTATGTCTTCGGTTTCTCGGATGACCGATTCAATTAAGTTTAGGATCGCATTTGGATGAGCGTAGAGGCGGGAGGAAGGAAATGATCTGCGTCCGTGTTCATCTGACTTTTAGGGATGATGGTCCAACCAGCCAAAGGATTCGATACAGATGTCGCGAATCCTTTGTGCAACTCCGTTACCCCGGAAACCAACCCTCGTTTCCATAGGAGACGCTTCTTAAATTAGTAAACAATGTATATCGTCGATTGACAGAGTAGTATCTGTTTCCGGGGCAACTGAAATCATTTCCGGACGATCCCTTTGGCGAGCGATAAGTTTTTCCAAAATGATATTTCATGTTATTTATTTACTTTTTTTCTGGTTGTTTCCCACATGTATCATAATAATACATCGCAGAATGAAAACAAAAGAAAACCACTTAATTATATAACAAGGAATAAATACAATTATATATATATATATTATAAATAATAAGGAAAAAAATCTATTTATAAAGCCATTGATTTCGGATTTGTACACACTTTGTAAATATAAATAAAAACAGTATGTTTGTGTATATGCCAAGGTTTTTTTTTTATTTCAGTTTTTTTCAGTCCGCCTGTTCGATAAAGATCATCGACGAAATCAGGTAAATAATGTATTGATTGGAATAATTAAAATTGATAACTCCCACAGTTAATAAACAATATTTCGATACGCATTTTATCAATTGTATATAGAAATAATAATAGTCATTAAATTCAATACTGAAATACTTTTGCATATTGTTGTGTCCAACCTTTATTATTGTAATTGTTATTATTAGTATAGTGTATTAACGAACTAGAGACATCC